ATTCAGAAATTCAGAAATTCAGAAATTCAGAAATTCAGAAATTCAGAAATTCAGAAATTCAGAAATTCAGAAATTCAGAAATTCAGAAATTCAGAAATTCAGAAATTCAGAAATTCAGAAATTCAGAAATTCAGAAATTCAGAAATTCAGAAATTCAGAAATTCAGAAATTCAGAAATTCAGAAATTCAGAAATTCAGAAATTCAGAAATTCAGAAATTCAGAAATTCAGAAATTCAGAAATTCAGAAATTCAGAAATTCAGAAATTCGAAAATTCTGAAATTCTGAAATTCAGAGGTTCAGAAATTCAGAAATTCAGAAATTCAGAAATTCAGAAATTCAGAAATTCAGAAATTCAGAAATTCGAAAATTCAGAAATTCGAAAATTCTGAAATTATTAATTTTTTTTTCAGAATTTTTCAAATTTTTATTCTTTCAGAGCCATTATGAAGACCTGAAAAACGCCAAATTGGAGCTTTTAAAATGCAAAGAAGCCCTCTGGAAATTGGATTTTTCTCTGGATAATTTCAATGATTACCAACAAGAAATTTTCAAAAAATTAGAGAAAAAATGTGGAGAATTGGATTTCGAAATGGAAAAATTGCTGAAAAATGTGAAAAATTATAATAAGGAAATGGGAAAATGGATAAGGAAAAAGAAAATGTGGATGAGAAGTTTTTCGAAATGTCGAAAACTTTTGAAAGTTTGAAATTAGAAGCAGAGGAATTGAGAGATTTGGTGATTCAGGTAATTTTTTCAAAAGTATCATTTTCTGAATTTTTGAATTTCTGAATTTCTGAATTTTTGAATTTCTGAATTTTTGAATTTCTGAATTTCTGAATTTCTGAATTTCTGAATTTCTGAATTTCTGAATTTCTGAATTTCTGAATTTCTGAATTTCTGAATTTCTGAATTTCTGAATTTCTGAATTTCTGAATTTCTGAATTTCTGAATTTCTGAATTTCTGAATTTCTGAATTTCTGAATTTCTGAATTTCTGAATTTCTGAATTTCTGAATTTCTGATTTTCTGAATTTCTGATTTTCTGAATTTCTTAATTTCTTAATTTCTGAATTTCTGAATTTCTGAATTTCTGAATTTCTGAACCTCTGAATTTCTGAATTTCTGAATTTTTGAATTTCTGAATTTCTGAATTTCTGAATTTCTGAATTTCTGAATTTCTGAATTTCTGAATTTCTGAATTTCTGAATTTCTGAATTTCTGAATTTCTGAATTTCTGAATTTCTGAATTTCTGAATTTCTGAATTTCTGAATTTCTGAATTTCTGAATTTCTGAATTTCTGAATTTCTG